TAAAGTTTACTAAAATGGAAGGTTGCGAATTACATACTCATCATATCCTCATCTATGCTGCTCATTCCTATTTTTCACACAAGACAAATCACAATCTTCAAGGGAGATTATCAAAAACAGAAGCACATCAGACCGAGTCCACAACGATTTTAGTCCAATATGCACAACCGAACCTCATGTGGGTGTATGAGCTTCTGCTTACAAATGTTATAGATGATAAAAATGTTGCTGTTTACAGTGTAATTGAAGACTTGTTCATCCGAGAGCGAAATTTAAAGCCTCTTCCAAAATAGCCCAATACGCAACAGGCCCAATACGTTGGGGCCTAAGTCAAAAAGGCAAGGCTAATGAATTCACGGTCCACTTGAGAAATGTTAGGCCCTGATACAGAGCTAGTCAAATCAGTGTAGCATGGGGGGATAACAAGTCAATGGCTTTCCATCTTATTTTTTAAGGGTTTTTCTATAGAGTGCCCACGAACACTATAGAAGAGGAGAGAGATAGATTGAGATGATTAAGGAAGGGGCCCACCTGATTTGCATTGGGATCCCCTCCTCAATCATCTCTCTCTATCTCTCTCCTCTCTTATAGAGTGCCCATGGACACACTACAGAAAAACCCATTTTTTAAAATGTACTGGCAGCTTAAGTAAGTTGATTACATTAATTTGTCTAGGGTTAAATCGCAAACACAGCTCCAATGTTTGTATTGTGCTGCTATGGTCTCATTATACCCTCTAAAGGTGTTTTTATTATGACACAGTTTAGATAATTATCAAGTCAAAGTAAAGTATCTAGGCTTACTCTATTCACGTTGTCAATCCGTTAAAAATTTAGATGTTCATGAGTTTTGTTTTCTTCAATAGATTGCCAGTCTAAAAATGTTGAAAGTCATTCAAGATTTTGAGAAAGGAATTTAGCACTTCTTAAAAGTAAATTATACGCTGAAAAAGGGATCGTAGGTATTTCAGAAAATTAGAGTTAAAAATAATTAAATTTTTTTTCCCAAAATATTGATGACGTAAATAAATGGTGTTGCCCAGGATCGAACTGGGGACCTTTTGTGTGTAAGACAAACGTGATAACCACTACACCACAACACCCTGCTGAGAGGTTGATTCCATAATTTTAAATAAGTTAAATTATCAGATTAGTACGTAAATTAACACCTGATAACCGGTTTGGTATTAAAACAAAATCCGGCCACAATAGAGTATTTAAACTTTCATGACAAGACAATTTGGCCCAAAACAAATTTTCCAGCAAAAATCTCCGGCAGCCTATCAGGTGATCATTCACACAGTGCTTAGATGGCTCTCTTAGAGGTGCCATGGCAGTGGCAGTTAGCCGCATTGAATTCATTACTAATAAGGAGATTTCAAATTAGGGTAATAACAAAAGAGGGGTTTTGCATTGGGGCTTCCTTCCGTGTTTTTTTTTTTTTAGATTTGGGGATTAGGGTTAGGAATTGGGGGTTCTCTATAGTGTGAGTAGTGTCTTCTTTAACGTCAAGCTCTCGATCACAGCCAACCTCAAGTATCAGTGAAGCACTTCCACACTAGGACTTCATACGTCTAGGTTGATGAAAATGCACCCCGCTCCCCCCTCCCACCCCAAAAACCAGCATAGTGAGAGGGGGAAATGGGGTAAATTTTGGGCGGGTATTAGGTTTTAGGGTAGTAAATTTCCCTCTATTTTCCTCTGCCACATCACCCACATTTCATTTAAAGGAGCTACATAAGCATCATGTGTGTGTTAGCTCACCTGATTGTTTAAGGATCCGGATTCTCTCCTAAGGAACAGTGTTCCTAATATTACCTCATAAATCAATCTCAGCCTTTCATTTAAATCAACGGATAAAATCCCTCCTAATTCCCCAAAACTCTTCACAAACACCCAGATCCCCTCCCCAAATTTCCGATTCCTCCTCACACCTCGAAGACCCTCCCTCCTCCCTCTCTCGACACCGACGCCGTCGGCCGACGATGCGACGCTGGCGCCGATAACCCCCCAAACTTTCCCCTCCAATCCCTTGCCTTCCTCCTCCTTCAACGAGACTCCTGTTAGGTTTCGAGCTACCATGTGTTGCCGACGAAAGACCACCATCTAGCTACTCATGACGGCACCGCGCGGGACCCGCCGAAATCTCCCTAACCCCGTCATGAATGAACCGATCTCAACGAACGAGTAAGAGCTCTCGGTGAAAATCGTCGTCGTCGTCGCTCCTCATCGTGTTCGTTATCGGGTGGGAAGTCATCTCCAGCAGGTAATCCTCGAGTCGCTTCGTTGTCGTCTTCAGCGGGTCATCGGTTGGGCGGTTCCGAGCAGCCAAGAAACGAAAGTTGTCCCCGCCCCCGCCCAGCGATCCTGCGGTGCGCCGCGCGCGGCGCTCGGTGCCTTAGAGAGGAGAGAGCGCGTGCGCGTGTGAGAGAGAAGATGGGGACAACGCGTTTCAGTTTCTTGATGCAATACTTAGTTTGAACTTTAGTTGTAACTTTCTCTGATGTAACTTTGGTTGTGAATTTCAGTTTATAACTTTGCCTGTAACTTTCAGACTGCTAGCAATACCTGATGGTGCAAATGTTATGCCTTGCATGTTTCCACAATACTGGCTGGGAATATTTATGTTGGAAGTCGGAATTTTTGTGCAGAAATTGAATATTTAGTGAATGTATTGGTGTTCCATTTTTATGTGCAGAAACTGAATACTGGCTGTGAATATTTGTGTTGGAAGTCAGAATTTTTGTGCAGAAATTGAATATTCAGTGAATGAAATGGTGTTCCATTTTTATGTGCAGAAACTGAATACTAGCTGAATATTTTTGTTGGAAGTCAGAATTTTTTCTTTTTTTACATTCTTTAGTTTATGAAGGTTTCAGGATGAATCCAGGGGAGGAAATGTAAGTAACATATGTATGAATCAACAATAAAGTCTGATTTAGCATATGTCTTATCATATTCACAAGTTGCTTCAGGGAAGTTCCTGATATGTGCAGAACAACATGGCATTGCTTTGAGATCTAGATGAAGAATATCAGGGTTATCTGTAAACAACTGCAAAGAATGTAATCTTTGAAGACATATTTGAATATTTCTTGAACTTCCCAGTGCTAATCCATAGAAACACAAACCAATAATATTGGCGGATATATAATCAACTCAGGCACAAGTCTATCCATATTTGGTGTTTATATCAACACAATATCAATGAAGAGAAAAAGAATCTCCACGGAAGAACTGAACAACAAGACAGAAAAGAATGAAAAACATACATAAAGGGAGCTGAGATCAACTGAAATTTTCATTCCATATAAGATCAAATATATAAAGATATACATCAGACGTCTTCAGAGTACAACTAGTAATAAAAATCAAAAAGATGCTTGAGTACATTCAGTAATAAAAAGTAAAAGACCCCATGCATCGCAATGTGTCCATGCACAACAAAAGTATCCATGCACAACAAAAGTGTCCCAACACTAAAAAAATACCCACTAATCTACCAATTCATCCCTGCACTACAAAAGTATCCCTGCACTACATATCCGCCAATATACACATGCACTAGTTTTCCGCAGAATTTGATTTTTCTGGGTCTTGTGCAAATGAAAATCCCATGATATTTGATTGAACAAATTCTTGTGAACTTGGCCTAGAGAATTCTTGATAAGGCATCCAAGACATTTGGTTTGGCATATTCAATTGATACCCATGCGGCATTAGCATATATCTACCATTACCAACCATCATAGGAGAGTGCATAGGTACTTGTAATTGATAGTAATGAATCAGATAACACTATAGTTGTTTGAAAACTCATTATACATGATAGTAAAAATATACCTGAGATGAATTATTGAGAGTTAATGAAGTCTGACCACATAACTCTATGCCAAAGGTATTGTTTAAAATCCCACTAACCTATTGCAATATCAATAACTAAAGGTTATTTTACATAATCTTGTTGTGGCCACACATGAACTATAGCAAAAATTCATCTTAATCATAAGACCAGTATATTAGCAACATAATGTGAAGCATTGTTTTGAAACCTGAGATTGTGGTGTAGAAGGTACATGAGATTGGTCCATTGCATCGCAATGTCTTCGAACTTTAGTTACCTATCATTGCATAGACATCAATAATGACTATATTCAGCAAGAAGTAAATAATGACTTCAATTATAGTTAAATATAATACCTGTGCGGGCTTTTTTTGTTTTTGTTTAACTGAGCTTCAAAACCTCCCTTTACCCGACGTTTTCCACGATGTGTAGCTTCTCTCTTTTTGTATCCCTTTGCATTCACAGCGGTTACATTATTAGTGCAATCAACTAAGACATTTGGGGCTTCATCTTCCATATCTTTTTCACCATTTATTTTTACACGTAACATATCTTCAACCATCTTTACTAACTTATCAGCTTCCATATCTACTGCCTCATATGTCTTCTCACTCTCAGATGCTCTTGATGCAAGTCGAACAAACTTAGAACATAAACTTCTATATCGAGAAGTTTGTTTCAGCCTTGGGTTCTCTACAATCTCGAGCCTATGCATGTCTTGCACAACATTATCAACTCTTGCGTTTTTTGTCCACCTCTCTAAGGTATATTGCTCAGGTATCTTTTTATCAGTGTAGTTTCTATGCCTTCTGTCATCACTTTGATGCAATGCCTACACAAGACACCTATAGTTTCAAACATCCTACAGCTGCAAGATACTGTAAATTGACCTTCTCTTTTTACTAGCATCTCCTTAAAGAACTCATCCCTAACAACAGTGAAGATATACTTTTCCCCATTGGACACACACTTTGTTATGGAAAACTTTAAAGAGTCTTCAAACTGAGCTTGAAATACCTTAAATATGGCTTTGGTATAAACTTCTCATGCATGTATCAAGATACTTACCTCCATTTTGCAGTGAACAATCCGGAACAACAAATCATATTCAGCTTCCAATTCCTTATACCGCTTGTCAGATACCATTCTTACAAAGTGAGTAAAAAACTCAGGCAATTGTAGGTCTGATTTCAAATACCTCTTCAAACTAGCATTAAAGCTTTTTCCTCAATTGTGTAGTTTGCATTCCTGTTGACCATGTCCACTTCACATATGCATGCACCCATTTTTTTCTTATTTCAAATATTATAGCCAACCAAGTATCATCATGTGCATCGTACTCATCAAGCATGGACTGCCAAGCACTCAAGAACTTATCCTCTTCCTCAATTTGATAAAGAAATTTGTTGAACACATTACCTTCATGTTCTTCATCGTTATCTCGAAATAAGAAGCCAACTTTCTTGACAGCATTTTGCATCAAATGCCATATACAAAGTCGATGGTAAGTACCTGACATATACAAAAAAAAAGTCAGATACATTAAAAAAATAATGCCATATAAAAAATTGATGGTAAGTACCTGACATCACATGTAATACAGCCTTGGCTATCACTGCATCTTGATCAGTGAAAAAGGTTTGTGGAGGCTTCCCACACATTGCCTTTAAAAAGGTTTCAAACAACCATATAAAGGATGATGCAGTCTCGTCGTACATTAAGGCAGGTCCAAAAATAATAGTCTCTCTATGATGATTTAATCCAACAAACACCGCAAATGGTCGATTTGCTTCATTAAGTTTGTAAGTTGTATCAAAACTTACCACATCACCAAATATACCATAATCCATTATCATTTTAGCATCAGCCCAAAAACGTTGGTAATCTGTTCCTTAGTGTCCAACTGCATCTCATAGAAGAACGAAGGATTTTCCAACATTTGCTTTGAAAATTATTCTAGCAGATAACCAGCTTCTCCAAATTTTATTTTTTTTTCTGTCGGACAGTTCGAAGGTAATTCTTTTGGTCTACCTTTGTAAATCCCAGTGATTCTCTACCACCTGCTTGCTGACCCATTAATTCAAATGCAGACTTCGGTGAAAGACCTGAATTTGCTGTCAAGTCTAAAAAGGCTTCATCTGATGATGTGATGTTTCGATGAGATGGCATAAAATGGATAGATTCTTAGCTGATAAGAGGATGATTATACTGTATAGAGAAACGATAAACAGAATACTTGCCAGTACGCCTGACCAACTT